ATCTTCCACTAGGCGGGATCTGCCTGTCTATAAAGACAAATCATTTGTATTGCTATCTGTTTTCTGCAAATTAACTTTTATTTCCAGAGTTGTAAAATTTCTCAGAGATAAAGGCACAGTCCCCATTGAACCAGCGACCTTGGGAGCCGGTGCATGAAACAATGCATAGTTTCCCACTTAAGATACTTGATTTGGGGGAGAGCCATTTCCAAACACTTGACAATTTATCCTTACATTACTAATGTTGGGAGATAAACACAAACTAAGGACATCCATTATTTAAATCCTGCATTTTGGGCCCAGCCACGGTGACATGGTTGAGGTCGTGCTGGAAGCCACGCGGAAGATTGGGGTTTGGTTTTCGGATTGACCCGTGCCCTTGTGCCCATGGTCCTAGCTGGCCAAAAAGCCTGAGGAGAAGGTCGTGGCCTGAGGCCTCCTGGAGGGTACTTCTCCGTCTGTCTGGTCTGTGTCTTTTTCTCGCTCATGAAATAAATGAGTAGACTTTAAAAAAATCAAGGGGCCGGCAGGTGGTACAGTGGTTAAGGCACTGGGACTCCCACGGGGCTGACTGCAGTTCAAGTCCCAAACGTGGTGGCTTGCTTTCTCACTTCTCTCTTTCTCTGTCTCTCTCTGGTCAAATTAAAATAATAATAATAATAATAATGACAAAATAAAATTTTTTTAAAAACTACAGAATGCAAAATCAAGCCCTGCATTTTGTGCCATGAGCGACAATATGTGGGAAGTACCTGACCTGACCCCATTCACAAAAAGAAAATCCGTTATACGGTAGTATTGGGTTATCGGGGAAGTCATGGCGCATTTGTGCGTAGAAAAACGTGAAAAACAGATCCTGATTTCCCCGACAACCAAATAGAATTTAACCCTCTTGTAACTAATAGGAAAATGTTTTTAAGTTTGATTCATGACAGATAGCACATGTGTGCATATGCAAGAGAGAGAAAGAAAGAATGAAAAGCACCTTGTTTTTATTTTTTTAATTTTCTTAACAGCATAGTTCTTTTTTTAATAATTATTTTATTTAACTTTATTTATTTATTTTAATTTGACCAGAAAGGGACAAAGAGAGAGAGAGACAGAGAGAAAGAGAGAGAGAGTAAGAAAGCAAGCCACCAGGTCCGGGACTCGAACCACAGTCAGCTATGTGGGAGTCAGAACACAGGTATAAAGGGCATGGACAGATTTATCAAGACAGTTTAAATTGATCAGTAGTTGTTTGTTTTGTTTTTTTTTGTTTTTAAGAGGTGTTTTTTGCCTTAGGACATGTGTGCTCACTGGAGATAAAGAGACAGAGACATTGAGACAAAGGAGGTGAGAAATTGTGGCCACGCCACCATCTCTTCTCCCAGGATCTTGGGCATGCACACACACGCCCAGTGTGATTTTCAAACCCCCGGGTCCGGAACTTGAACTGCAATTGGCCATATGGGAGCCCAGTGATGTAACTGCTATGCCATCTGCTGGCCCCATCAGTAGTTTTAAATGCTCATCCGGCGAGCCTATTAACAGATTGTGTTTCTGAATGCAGTGACTTAAGCAAAGCAACTGGGATAAATCAACTTAAACAGTACACACCACTAACTCTGGCATTATTTCGGTGCAATCTATTTTTCCCTGTTAAGTTTGCCAGAATGGCACTGAAAAACCGTCACATTTACAAGAAAAAAAAAAATAGTGGGAAGTTTTATTTTCTTTAGATGGGAACGTGGTTGATGGTAATCATCTCCAACAGTCATCGAGAGAGGACACAGTTCTGGTGTTCCTGATCCATCTTTGCCATTTAGAAGCCGATTTCTCATCGGGGTGACATTTCAGACTGTTGTCTTCCTGGACAAAGTGTTTTTATCGTGGCTGCCTTGACGCCTGTGAGCAAACCGGAGCCCGCTGCTTCTTAGGGGCTCGCCTGTCCTTGTCCATAGGCCACAGGATTGCACTTGTTGCCCCCGGTGACACAAGAGAACCCTCTGTGTGAGGCTATTTGGTAAATGATAAAGAAGACAGAAAAAGTCTTTGTATGGTAGCTGGCGCCCCTGAACTCTCCATGTGTCGGTGATAAGGATGCTGGTTGGCTCTCAGACAGAGGTGCATTAGCTGGCTGTCTGCTCAGCCGAGGGGGAGCCCCCCCAGTGACAGCAGCCCCGTCCGGAGTGAAGGCTCGCAGAGCTGGAGATAGCAAAGGCTCTCCCTTCCTCTGACACGCGAGCAGAGAGTGAGAGCTTCATGTCATTATTAAAAACCACGTTTCTTCTCTGTGCACCACAAACTGTTCAAAGAGGTATACTTGGTGATTGCTCTCCATGGAAGGTTTAGCAATGAGGGCCCAGCAGTTGGAGTAATGGCTATGTCACTGGACTCCCACGTAGTCGACCGCGGTTCAAGTCCCAGACCCAGTGGCTTAAACTCACTCCGGGCGCGTGTGCGTGCGTGCCCAAGATCCCAAAAGGAGAATGGAGGAGAAAGGATTGCGGTGTGACCATCCCCCCGGGGGATGATTTCTCGCTTTCTGTCTCTCTGTCTCTCTCTGTCTGTCTGGCGAGCGCATGCGCCCTATAGCAAAAACCTCTATTAAAAAATTAGAAAGAAAGAAAACGTAGTGATGATAAGCATTTCAGCAGACGAAGAAAAGCAAGGCTGAATTAGTATTAGCACATAGGAAAATTCGGGTGTGGTAGCCAGAGATTTAAGACTAGAGTAAGTCAGTTGGGGGCCGGCAGGTGGCATGGTGGTTAGGGCACTGGACTCCTCATGGCTGACCTCAGTTTGAGTCCCGGACCGGGCAGCTTACCTTCTCATTTTCCTTCTCTGTATCTCTCAATCTCTGTAACTCTGCTCTTCTCTGGTCAAATTAAAATAAATAAATAAATAAAGTTAAAAAAAGTAATTCTTTAAAAAAAAAAAAAAAAAAAAGGCTGGAGTAAGTCGCAGCTTCGTGCCAGGTCAGTGCGTAGAGATCCACGAGTTGGCTGTCTCCAGGGCTGGAGGTTATGAGTCTGACACGTTCCTGCATTCCGAGTACTAACATTTTCACTGCTGATAGCGGCTTGCAGAGCTTGGGCAAGCGGAACTGACAAGCAGGGCTGGGGGAGGAGAGGCGTCCTCACCCTTCAGTGTTTGAACAATAGGACCTTATATGGCCATGTCCACCTCAGTGTCCCTGTGAGGAGCTAGACCTTAGTGCCGTAGGTAGAGTGGGGGAAACGGGTGTCATGGCGGCTCCATTTTACTGATTGTGTTTTTATTATTATTATTATTTTTTGGAGAGGTTTTTGCTTTGGGGGCGTGCACTCACCAGAGAAAGACAGACAGAAAGCGAGAAATCACCCCCCAGGGGGGATGGCCACGCTGCAATCCCTTCTCCTCCATCCTCCTCTCGGGATCTTGGGCACGCACGCACACGCACCCGGTGTGAGTTTAAGCCACCAGGTCCGGGACTCGAACAGCAGTCTACTACATGGGAGTCCAGCGACACAGCCAGTATCCCAACTGCTGGTCCCTGAGAGTTTCAGGCGTTCTGTATGCGATTCCTCACGCATACCTAGGCCAATGCTGGCTCTGGATTCTTTCAGTATGTGAGACAGAAATATAAAGCTATGTTTTAAAACAGTTCAACTTTGGAGAAACTAAGAAAAATTCTTTTTTTTTAAATAATTATTTTATTTCACTTTATATACCATAATTATTATTATTTTCAATTTGACCAGAGAGAGACTGAGAGAAAGTGAGAAAGCAAGTCAGGACTTGAACCGTGGTCGGCCATGTGGGAGTCCAGTGCCTTCAACCACCATGCCACCTGCCAGCCCATACTTCTTCTTTTTTTTTTTTCTTTTTTGAGAGGTTTTTCTCCATAGGGCGCGTGTGCTCACCAGAGAGAGACAGAGAGAGACGGAGAGACAGAAAGCGAGAAATCACCCCCCCAGGGGATGGCCACGCCACAATCCCTTCTCCTCCATTCTCCTCTCGGGATCTTGGGCACGCACGCACACGCGCCCGGTGTGAGTTTAAGCCGCTGGGTCCGGGACTCGAACCGCGGTTGACTGCGTGGGAGTCCAGTGACATAGCCATTACGCTAACTGCTGGTCCCGGCCCCAGACTTCTTAATCTTACAGGCATCTATATAAACAGATATTCTGCATTTTTCAAAAAAAAAAAAAGTTAAATATCTGTGATTATTGCAAATTAGGTTTTAAAGGATACTAAGATCTATTATGAATTAATTAAAAAATGCCTTAAATCTAATTTAAATAATTTATGGATGGAGTTAGAGATCATGTTGTATTTCCTAATTAAACCCCATTAAGTAGATTTACTTGGAAACTTTTAATTTCCTAGTACTTCTCTGGGTTTGGCTGGAAAATCAACATGTCTCAAAGCTATTTGAGTTGTAGGGACCAGCAGTTGGCGTAATGGCTATGTCACTGGACTCCCACGTAGTCAACCGCGGTTTGAGTCCCGGACTCGGTGGCTTAAACTCATGCCAGGCGCGTGTGCATGCGTGCCCAAGATCCCGAGAGGAGAATGGAGGAGAAGGGATGGCGGCGTGGCCATTCCCCCTGGGGGGTGATTTCTGGCTTTCTGTCTCTCTGTCTCTCTCTGTCTTTCTGGTGAGCTCGCGCACCCTATAGCAAAAAAACTCTCCAAAAGAAAAGAAAACGGGGGAAAAAAATTTCAGGGGGCAGCAGGTGGAGTGGTAGTTAAGGGTGCTGGACTCCCACATGGCTGACCACGGTTCGAGTCCTGCACTTGGCGACTTTTTTTCTCTCTCTCTCTCTTTCTGTCTCTCTGGTCAAATTAAAATAAGTAAATCAATAAAGTTAAATTAAAAAAAAAAATCTTTAAAAAACATTTCAGTGGCTCTTGTATAATTCACCTTATTACATCTGTGCTCTCTTTAGTTACCAAAAAAAATAAATAAAGAAACAGAAACCTGGATGGCAAGTCAGTATGGTTTGTGTGTGAATTTTCCAATTGTATTTCAGACGTTAAGAAAGAAGGGCCTTAATGGTTGTGAGAGCCCCGATGCTGACGATTTCTTTGAGCACAGTCCACTCTCGGAGGACAGACTCAGCAAACTAAACGAAGATAGTGATTTTATTTTCCAGCGAGGCCCTGTAAGTACTTTTACTCTCGCCTCTGCTTTTTATTTGTTGATCCTTTTTGTTAACTTCATTATTTAGGTTCTGAACAAGAAGGAACACAGAGGGTGCGACAGCCCGGACCCCGATACTCCCTATGTGCTAACCCCACATACAGAAGAGAAATATAAAAAAATTAACGAGGAATTTGATAATATGATGCGGAATCATAAAATCGCAGTGAGTACTTAAGTATGGTTTGTGCTTTTTATCGTGTGCATGAAGAGATTGGCTGCACATGGATGTTTAGAAGGGGTCGGTGACAAGAATAAGTCGAAGGGGAGGGGAAGAAAAGGCACTCTGTGAATTTGTTCTGGTTTTATAGAACTAATAAGTCGAAGGGGAGGGGAAGAAAAGGCATTCTGAATTTGTTCTTGTTTTATAGAATTCCAAAGTAAAATTGCTGAAATCTTCTAATAGCACATGTTCAGTATCCTTTTTTGGGGGGCGGGGGTGGCGAGAAACAAAGAGAAATAGAGAAGGAAAGTGAGAAATCACCTCCTGGGGGGGATGGCCACACACAGTCCCTTCTCCTCCATGTCCCTCTTGGGATTTGCAAGCCCCGGGTCTGGGACTCGACCCACAGTCAGCCACGTAGGAGTGCAGCGCCTTAACCACCACGCACCGGCTGTCTCCCTATTCAGCATCACTCCCTATTCCTCTGGAAAGGACCCTCGAGCATCCCAAATTGCATTCCTTCATCACTGCAGTGGGCGGTTCGGCTCACGTAATTTGTAAGGTTCCAGCTCTAAAATTTTGTGATTTTTTAATCCAGAGTCGATGTTGGACTCTTCTTTCTTCCTTCCATGACTTAAACATATAGATGTATTTTATATGTGCATATTTTACATACACACACATACAGATCTGTCAATACAAAATGTGAAGTGGTTGGATGTAAAATGTAGCGTTTCTAAATTAGTTCTCATTCTTTTGTGCAGTGTCTGTCATAGAGTAAATGTCCCAAACTGCTGGGCACGGATACCACCAAGCCCCTCTTCTTCTCTTACGCTGTAGATACTGAGGGAAGCCCTGGCTTCCTTTTAATTTCAGGAAGCAATGTTTTTACTCTGGCTCCAGACAAATCCCACTGTAGATGTTTCCCCTGCTCATGCATCCTGCTATACTGAAACAGTTCGTCTTCGAGCTCATGCTCCTGGACTTAATCATTCTTTTAAGAGTTCTTCTCGGGGCCAGCAGGTGGCATGGTGGTTAAGGTGCTGGACTCTCACATGGCGAACCACGGTTCGAGTCCCCTACCTAGTGGCTTGCTTTCTCACTTTTCCCTCTCTCTCTGGTGAGCATGCCTGCCCTATAGCAAATTAAAATAATAATCAGTAAAATTAAATATGTAATTTTTTTTAAAAGTTCTTTTCATTGGAAGCTCCGTTGACAAAAGCTACTTAAGGCCATTATCTGGGAACTCATTTTCCAATTCTGTGTGTGACTGTAGTTTCTTGGAACTGCTGGTTACAGTTCTGATATTTGCTTCATCAACCAAGTCGGTTCTCTCGAAAGTGTACCCTAACATACACATCATGGATTACATCTGCCAGCGAGCTCTGTTGTCATAAGATGCTCATGCTATTGCTTTAAGGAGTTATTTCTGGGCTAATCCCAATATTGTTCTTAAAAACAAAATGTAGCGGGGGACCAGCAGTTAGCGTAATGGCTACGTCACTGGACTCCCATGTAGTCTAGTGCGGTTCGAGTCCCGGACCCGGTGGCTTAAACTCACACCAGGCGCTTGTGCGTGCATGCCCAAGATCCTGAGCGGAGAATGGAGGAGAAGGGATTGCAGCGTGACCATCCCCCCTGGGGGGTGATTTCTCGCTTTCTGTCTCTCTGTCTCTCTCTCTGTCTTTCTGGCAAGTGCACGCGCCCTATAGCGAAAACCTCTCAAAAAAAAAAAAAAAAAATAGCGAACAGAACAAGATAAAAATCCCTTTCAACTTCAGAGGAATGTTGTAATTGTAGTTTAATGTTAAGTTCCAAAAATGTTGTACACATAAGGTTGTTTTACATTTGAAAAAAAAATTGATCGCCTATCTGTGGTTTTGTATTTGTTGGTGAATTATCCCATTTTTTTCTACCTGACATATTGCGAAGAGTACATAAGCTATTTATGTTCCTTCTACCTTGAGTTAGCACTATCATCTTAAATCACTGTTGTAAAAATGAAGGCAGAGAAAAGGTTTTTTCACTTTAATTATAAAGACTTTTTAAAATTGTGATTAATAAGTACATTGTAAACAATCTGTAGAGGAAATGTCAGAGCAAAGAAAATACCCTTCTGAAGGGGACGGGGACCATCCTGGAGGGAGGAAAGTCGGCCGAATATTTGTAATTTAATCGTCATGCTATTTAAATATTCAGAAAAATGAAGGACTAGCTCGTCAGTAGTGAGGTTTGTTTTTTAAATGAAATTCCTTTGTGTTGTATTAGATTCAGATCGCGTTAGGTCATGTGTATAATTACCTGGTATTTCTTTAGTTCTGCCCGTTGAGAATGTCAGTCAGTGAATTCAGACTCGGGCTTCTTCATCACACCCCAGTTTGGAATATTAAGCTAATAAGATGTGTATACACTTGTCCGCTTCTGTTACATTGGAGATCACCCAATACAACTGCAATGTTACTAGACTGGTTTGCATTGAAGTGCTGATCTATACTTCCATGATAAAGTGATATATTCTACAATGTCTACACTCAGCAATACTACTTTAATATCGGGTGTTAAGCCTCTCTTTTCCATCTCTGACTTTTGAAATATAGGACCTATATCTTATATTAACATATGCATATTACTATATAGAAAAGCTTTGCATCAAGCATATTCATGTTCAAGTACAATTCTAAAGAAAATCGACAGTTTGCAAACTGGCTTCGTAGGAACCTATCCCCAGCCTCTACTTTTTAGCAACTTGAGTTAACACGCCATATTTAAAAGCTCGTAAGTTAATGAACGTAGGTGAAAATGAAACTCACAGCGTCTTCCTCCTCGGTCTTTGTCTCCAGCCTGGTTTGCCACCTCAGAACTTCTCCATGTCCGTCACAGTCCCTGTGACCAGCCCCAACGCTCTGTCCTACAGTAACCCAGGAAGCTCGCTCGTGTCCCCAACTCTGGGAGCCAGCTCGACGTTAGCAGATTCCAGCATGCTCTCTCCACCTCAGGCCACACTACACAGAAATGTATCCCCCAGCGCTCCTCAGAGACCACCGAGCACTGGCAGTGCAGGTACGTAGTGCTGTCTGTCCTGCTGTCTGTCTCTCACAACGAGGAGGGAAGATCTGCTGATACGCAGGGGTCTTCCTGCCACTCTTCATCTGATTGCTTTTTCTTTTTTTTTTTTTCTTTTTAAGAGAGATTTTTTTTTTTTTGCTATTGGGTGTGTGCCCTCACCAGAGAGACAGAGAGCAGGAAATCATCCCCAGGGGGGATGGCCACGTCTCAGCCCCTTCCCCTTCATTCTCCTCTCGAGGTTTTGCACACGCACGCACATGCACCTGGCATGAGTTTTCAGCCGCCGGGTACGGGACTCGAACTGCGGTTAACAGTGTGGAAGTCCAGTGACGTAAGCATTACGCATCCTGCTGGTCCCACTTTAATTGCTTTGATGAACAAGAGTCAACTGCTACATAACGGGCTCTAGTTTAAAGTTGTTTTTTTTTTTAAATCTAACGTGGACCTAGCATTGTGTCAGGCAAAGTAGAACAATACAGAAAACCCATAATCCGTAAGCTTTACTGATCATGGGAAAATCACACTTTGACAGGCAGAATATGCATTAGGATATCATGAACAAAGATTGAAAGCTGAATTTGAGCCATTCATGTTAGAAACACAGGGAATAGGGGCCGACAGGTGGCACGATGGATAAGGGCACTGGATTCCCACATGGCCGACCATGGTTCGAGTCCTGGACCTGGTGACTTGCTTTCCCACTTTCCCCCTCTCTCTCTCTCTCTCAGTCTCTGTCTGGTCAAATTAAAATAATAATAACAACAAAAAAAAAAAAAAAAAAAAAAAAGGAAAAAAAAAAAACTTAAAAAAAAAAAAAAAAAAAAGGAAACACAGGGAATAAAATGATCTGGTTGGAGTTAGAGGGGTTCTTTTTGTGTATTCTCTCGCCTGAATTGGTTCGTTCACCCAGCGGCAGTAAACAGAAATGTCTCTGTGTCAGTCGATGTAATTCAGGGTCTTCTAGCTCTGAAGTCCTCGATTTAATGGAAGTGTCCCATACCCACTGTCCCCGTTTTCGTAATAATTGATATCAAACCACAGGAAAACACACACTGCACTTGATAGGTAAAGTCTGTGTGTGTGGGTGTGTGTGTGTTTACACACACATAGGTACATATGTATATTGGGTCATTGGGAAAATCATGATGCATTTTTGCAGAGAAAAACACAGAAAAATGCATGAGGACTTTTCTCCCCGCCAAGATGTAGGTATATAATTACATCAAAGTGTACATTACTGCCAACTTCACACTGGTTTTTATTTTTATTTTTTTTTTTAAGTCATCCTCGCATTTTATTTTATTTTTGTTTATAATTATTTTTTTAGAGAGATTTTTGCTGTAGGGTATGTGCGCTTGCTATTGAGATGAGAGAGAGAGATAGCAAGACAGCAAGCCTTCCTCCCTGGGCCGAATAGCCATCCCTTCCCCTCCATCCTCCTCTCGAGATTTTGAACACACACGCACACACGCCCGATGTGAGTTTTGAGCCGCCGGGTCCAGGGCTTGAACCGCGGTCGACTACGTGAGAGTCCAGCGGCGTAACCATTAGGCCCGCTTTTTGTGTTTTTTAAGAATGGTGTGAGCGCTGCCTCTGTGGGGTTGAAAGTCAGTTGAATGAGAAGCGCTAAGTCACGTTCGTTCTGTCTCCCCTGTGACGTCAGGTGGGATGCTGAGCACTACGGACCTCACGGTGCCAAATGGAGCTGGGAGCAGCCCTGTGGGTGAGTAACCTGCCACCGTCTCACTTCGGAAGCATCTGTCCTACCCGAGATCAAAGGAAGACCGTCCCTGAAAAAGGCCTCCTACCGAGGCCACCACCTTCCCTTCCGAGGGCCACCTCCACCCATCCTGAAGGCTTTCTCACAGTGCCCTCGTTTTCTCTCTTACACCTGGGCCCTTAGTTAGTTCCTCGTTCATCCGGGAAGTCATTTATTGTGCACCTACTCCATCCCCGACACTGCCGTCTTCCAAACACTGAATGGCCTTGAGGCATTTACATCGTAGCAGTCTCTCCCAGAGACGCTTTCTCCATCTCTTGTCCGTACCAGAGTTACGCTGTTGGCAACCTGGCACCTTGTACAATAGCGTGGCGTGTTTTTTTTTTTTTTTTGGAGAGGTTTTTGCTATAGGGCGCGTGCGCTCGCCAGACAGACAGAGAGACAGAAAACAGAAAGCGAGAAATCACCCCCCCCCAGGGGGGATGCCCACACCGCAATCCCTTCTCCTCCATTCTGCTCTTGGGATCTTGGGCACGCACGCACATGCGCCCAGCGTGAGTTTTAAGCCACCGGGTCCAGGACGCGAACCACGGTCGACTACGTGGGAGTCCAGCGACATAGCCATTACGCTAACTGCTGGTTCCCTCCAGCGTGGTGTGTTTTCTGACACCCTGGCACGCAAAGCAATGTCCATCCTACTTCCGTAGAGTCAGAAGTGTCAGATGTGTCTGGAGGACCTGCTTTTGTGGTCACGTGTAGAACTTTGTCACGGTTACCAGGTGGGTCCTTGGATACTGGGAACCCTTCCCAAGACGATAAGCAGTTTAAACACACGGAAAGGGCCTGCCCATCCCTGAAGTGCTGAGAAAGATCGATTGCAATCTTAACGTCACAGAAACATGGCATGTATGTCAGAATTATCAGAAACAACTATTACCATTTGAATGTTTTTGTTGTTGTTGTTGTTGTTGTTTGGAGAGGTTTTTGATATAGGGCACATGTGCTTGCCAGACAGACAGAGAGACAGGGAGACAGAAAGTGAGAAATCACCCCCCGGGGGATGGCCACGCCACAATCCCTTCTCTTCCATTCTCCTCTCGGGATCTTGGGCACGCACGCACACGCGCCCAGCATGAATTTAAGCCACTGGCTCCGGAACTTGAACTGTGGTCGACTACATGGGAGTCCAGCGACATAGCCATTACGCTAACTGCTGGTCCCACCCTTTGAATGTTGATCGCATCCAGTCGTCACAGTCTATCACTCTGGGACAGTCACAGGTGCCATCACTGTTCTGTGACAAGGCATCCCCTCCCTGCTCAGCAGATGCGATGTTTCTAGAGGTAATGTGGAAACAGCGTTGGTAGGAGAAATTCCCAACTGTGTGTGTTCGCCGTCCTCATTCCATAGGAATAACGGAATCTTCTGCTTAAGAAAATGAGGGGGACAGCTGAATGAGAAGTGATGAGAAAGACAGACATCATGGAGTGAGACAAGTTACGAAACCGTGCTGTAAAGGCGTGGTACACGCCTCGTTTCCTGTCTCCGTACTAAATGCAGTTTTAAGGGGAATAAACGCGTGGGACCTATTGGAGGGTCTTACTTAAAGGAGAGTAAATGTGGGAACAGATGCAAAGTTCTTACCAGGTCCTAGGCCTGCTGTTGTATGTGTCTATTTCTAAATATTTGTAGTTTCTTTACGACTGCGTTTTAGTTGTTTGCATGCCTCTAGTCTTTCTGTGTACATTTTTTTTAAGAGAATTATTCATTTTATTATTACGATTCTTTTTTTCACATGAGTTTTGCCAGAGAAATACAGAGCGAGAGAGGGAGAGTGAGAAAGCAAGCCACCAGGTCCGAGACTCGAACTGTGGTCAGCCATATGGGAATTCCAGCACCTTAACCACCGCGCCACCTGCTGGCCCCTCTGTGTATATTTTTTCCATGTGCTTTCTTTCCTGTGAACAAAAAGTAAGTGTGGGGACCAGGAGGTGACATGGCGGTGAAGGCCCTGGACCCCCTGAGTGCAGTTCAAGTCCCGGATCCGGTGGCTTGAAACTCACACCAGGCACATGTGCATGCGTGCCCAAATTTCCGAGAGAAGAATGGAGGAGGAGGACTTGCGGCATGCCCCTCCCTGTGGTGGGGGTCTAATTTCTCACTTTGTCTCTCTGTCTCTCTCCAGTGAGTGCCATATAGCAAAAAGTCTCTCCTCCTCAAAATAATAACAACAACAAAAAAAAACCCCACTAAGAGTAGGGCTCACTAAAACTGGGTGAGAATGGGCTGCTCCCTACGTGTGGGGCCGCGATCCCAAAGGCTGGGCCCTAGCAGGTAAATGAGCCGAAGGTAAACTCCCCACGTAGTAATTACATCTCGTCTGCATCACCCTGCTTCTCGACGTTAGAGAGCGGTGACCTATCGTTAGGGGCCTCCCGAGGCCCAAGGGAGGCAGGTCGTCCCTGGAAGAATAAGAGAAGGCTGCAGCGTCATCTCGGGCCGTGTGAGGCACACGGAGAGGCCGTTAACCGTGAATTAAATCCACAGCAGAAACGAGCGGTGGGAGCGGCCTCCTGGGAGTTCCTGAAGCTGAGGTCGCCAGGCACAGACTCTGCCCTGACACGTGACGCAACATGACATGGTGCGACGCGACACGCCGTATGTGTGTGTGCCGTATTCAAAGAGATCAAGACAGATTGCTACTTTGAGGAGAGAACCGGAAACTTTTTAAAAATAAGAATTTCAGAACCCCAAAAAATGTTATGTACAGAATGTAACCAATGGATTTTTTTTTTTT